ATTTAAGAATGAAATTTTAACGAATAACTTTGGGAATGTTGCTACCAGGAATTGTGTTTACGATTTTTAAAAACAAAATATTTACTATTTTTGCAACGATGAAAAATTGTAACCACTATTATAGTACATTAAAAAAAAAAAAAAAAAAAAAAAAAAACTATATCAATCAAATTCAAGCGCACTTCTTTATCCGTTAGAGCCTGTCAATACTGATTAAGTTTTCTCAATGTTGCTTTTACTCGAAAAGACACACGACTCTCAATAGGAAATTGACACTTCAAGATCTACTTTATATTTAATCGATCTAACATAAATCTCTAGACTTTCAACAGAGGTTCTGTAATCTTGAAAGTGTCGCTCTCAACAAGTGTTCACGAATATAAATTACGTTGAAAATAACACTACACATGTAATATTGAAAAAACGTCAGCTGTAATTATCAATAGAACATTAATAAGTCGACAATATATTTCTACATAAAAATTTTTAATTTAAAATTTTTTTACCCAATTCATTCATATCTTTTGTATTTTGAATTTTATAATTATTATATAAAAAATATAAAAATTATTATAATACATTGGATATTGAATTTTGCAATTGAATTTTATAATATGAAACTCGCTGATGGATTTTACATTGAGAGAAATATGTATGACTGAACTCCTGAGAGATTTAACTTCCTTCTGCTTTCATCTTCGATAGAGAAAAGGACCATAGCGAGAAAATACCTACATGTTTATCAATCTAGTTTAATCAAACAGGAGTCTAAGATTTAATTCATAAACTAACCTTTCATCATGCTTAACGGCCGCATAAATACTTCTTAAAAGTGCGGGCACTGGTTGTTTATTCATCTCTGTGTAATTAGAAAGTATGGGTGAAAGAAATTTCGCCGGTTTCTTTCAACAAATATTATAGATTATGTTTCCATTTACACTTTTTATATGCATTCGATATGAGAAGCTGCCATTTCTCATACTGGTAGGTAATTACTATACATTATATGAATAAAATGCTTATTATTTACAAGAGTTTGATTCTACAATGGAATTACTGGTAATAAAAAAAAAAAAAAATATATATATATATATATATATATATATATATCAGTAATAATACACATGGAAAAATAACATCTTTATTATATAATTTGCTAGAAAAATTATAAAGAACTAAAAATTGACGTTTTCCTGTTCAGACTATTATTTTCCTTCGATAAATTGCTTTCATTAAATTAAACATTATTTGCTTTTATTCTAGTAACCATGTTTTATAATTTTATTTTTATATTATTCAAAAAATTATATAAATATTAATATATTTAATAAAATAGCAATTAAATTATTTATTATACACTAATATTATATATTAATAAGCATAATATATAATTTATGCGTTAATTTATTAATTTTCATATGAAAATATTCAAAATAATTTATAAATTTTAATTGAATTTTAGTTAAATATTTACCTAAATATTTACAAGAAAAAGGTATCAAAAATTTTTGTTAATTCATTACTATAATAACTTTTACGGCAATTGAAGGCGAATGGGCTTTACGCATTGTAATTTAGATTTTTACATAATTGAATATATTTTACGTATTCACGGTAAAGTATAGTACTAAACATACGCAAAATGACTACTAGAATATAAGTTGTTTAAAAAAAAAATCTTCATAAATATTGTTTGTAAAATATACTATTTATAAAATGACTATTACGCTACAGTAATTATTCTATCTAAGCTTCAATCTATCATAATTTGCAAGAAAATTGTTATATTATTTAATTAAAAGCATCAGTTTATTGAAACTTAATCTATCGACTAACCCATATCAATTATAGAACAAATTATAATAAAGGACTAGAATGAATGGCAATTGCATTATTTTTTATACGAAAATTCAATGGAGAAATTATGCTGATAAATTAAATTAACGGATTAATTAATTATTAATGATTAATAGTACTAATTGCATATTATTTCTTAACACGGACATTTTTACTGTAAATAGGCATGCATCACTACTACTATTCTATATATATATATATATATATATATATATATATATATATATATGTAAAAAAAAAAAAAAAAAAAAAAAAAAATTAAAATTCAGGAAATGAAGCTGACAATTTGTCGTAATCTATAAATAATTGGAGCTTCGCGCATTGTCATTACTTTTATGTAGAGCAGCATAACAAGAAGGTTTTTATTTTCAAATTTTCTCTCAACAACGATGATTTATTCTTTGATCGACGCGGCTCTCATCAATACATACGCCCACGCTAACAATTCATTCGATCCACGTGACTGTTACGATGGATTATATTACATAGAAGTCTATCCATGTCATGCAAGCGTATATTTCAAGCACCATCATGGTTATAATACGAAAGTATTCTCTGCTTTTGCCTGTCTATTTTCTCTTTTCCGTGAATACGTGTATGAGATTGTAACAGAGACGATAAGATCAAAATACATGTTAATGACTAATATTTCTGTTTTATATCAAAATTATTCTTGTGCGTTTTATGGTTTATCTTGGTTATTGTTTTGGCTTTTATGGTGGTAATAATTTTGAGTTTCTTATGTCATGTTGGCACGGGCAGATGATAGCATATGAAGGCATAGACGAAGTTGTTATTTTTACAAGCTAAGTAAATTGAATTAATTAAAAAATGTTTATTAGTTCACTCAATAAGCAATGATGATTTAAAAACAATACACACTGATTTCTTTGATAATATATTGTACAATCAGCGGTGTTTATCTATTTTCAAAAATTTTGTTAAATATTTACCCTTTTAGTCTATATATGCAGTTAATACTGTGTGTTACAAAATACAAATTCATACTAGAAAAAAAAAAAATAATAACATAGAAGGGAGTTAAGAAGGATTAATTACGTTATTATTTATCTTAAAACATTGAATTTCGTAGTAAAGAATGTCGATATTATTGTAAACATATTTAGAAAGTTTAACATATGTATTGACTATTAAAATGTTTGAAAGTAGTTGTAACAGCATCGGTTAATAATTTTCCGTTTCTGATTCTTCGAAAGTATTTTCACAATTCCTAATTGGATTAAGACCAAATGCCTAATGTAAGAGTGAAAATTCTTGAAAAATGAAAAATGAAGAGAAATCGTGCCGTGATACACTAACATGCATTATAATAGATTTGTCTTGTCTTAAAATTCAAATTCCACTTAATTCGTTAATAATCGTCGAATTAATTTCATAATGAATAACACGGTACGCGAATTTTTACGCTATTCTCAATTATCGAGCGAGATTCACAAATATGCAAATATCCATTAATTAAAACTCTTCATAACAAATAATGTAATCGTGTGTAAATTAAAAAATTCTTTCAACAATTGTCTTAGTAAACAGAATATAAAAATGATTGGAAGTATTGTATATTAAAATTTAATTGAAATTTGTTTTTTAAGATAATTGTTTTTAAATGTTAAGTAAATTATTGAAAAGTTGAAAAAAAAAATGGACATATTGTTAAATGTTTCATATTTCATCATGAATTTCATATTTCATTTATGAAGCTCAAATGGCATAGTTAAATTTAAAGATACTTATAATTATATTAACATTTACTTTTAATAATATAGTTAAAATTTAAAATATTCATCATAATATTTTATTTTTTCATAAAAATATATTTCATAAAAATGATTTTCTTCGTCTATGAATTATTTTATAAAACATTAACAATTTAGTTATTCTTAGCTACTCAATATTAATGAACACATATTATTACTTATGAATTTTTCTTCCAAGGCATACTTTTTACAATAAATATCAAGCACAATTGTAATTTATTAAGATCAGAGAGGAGGAATTAATGGAATTCTGCGGACTGCAGCCATTTTCGTAAAACAAGAGTAATGAGATGTCTGTTAGTTGTTTTTTCTTTATTCAAATATTTAAATTTATACGTAAATCTCTTAAGGTTTTTAAAATTTTTAGGTGTCATAATTCTAATACTTTATTAAGAAATAAAAAATTTATACGTAAGCGCGCGCGTTGCTATGTAGGCATATTATCCGAATAGTTGGTTCAATAATTTTATCAATGTAATTGGAAACTGCGATACTACTTCTGTATAATAATACTTCACCATTTTCGCTTTGATCTTCGGAAACATTAATTATTATAATAAATTTTTGTATCTTCGTTTCATTACACCAACGACTAAGGAAAATTTAAAATTTCTTAATTAGATAATAAATTAAGACTAACGAGTTAACTTATTAAATTTGCTACTTGCTATACTTCCTATAACAACATACATTTACTTTATAAAATATGAAACTTTTTAATCGCATACGCGCGCGCTCAAACGTATGTGCGCATACACGCAAACATGTGCACGCACATTATAAATTAGATTTATTAGAAATTATATTCGTTCAAACTCATTGTGTAAAATTTGAAATATAAATTACTTTAAAAGTTCAATATATTTTTAGTTTAAGCAAATTTAACGAATACAACAAATTATTGGAATTAAATATGACGCAATCCATACTACTGAATCTAGAAAATTATTGAACTTATAATTAATAATATTTTTTAATTGCCAATATTTTCATATATTTATACATTATTTAAGTTTAAAAAAAAAAAAAAAAAAAAACTGAAGCTTAGTCGTTTCCTTTTTAAGAGAAATTTTAATTATGAAAAAGAAAAAAATTAATAATTACCATTCCAATGTTAAAAGTTTTAAGATCATTTTTACAATGCTTCAGTACGAGCAATACTCGTCCTTACTATAAAAAATATATCCCTACGCTATTTATTTCGATTTGGAAGTCTGGCAGAGATGAAATACTCATTGGCATAAAGTTGCTAAACCATTAATTGTGTTCCCTTTCTGTTGCAATGAATTATGCCGACGCTACCCAGACAAGACATGTACAACTACTTGTTCGTAAAATGCTTAAGTACTTTATCTTCACGAATTTCAGAGACAGTAGCCGCTGCGAGAGCAACGGTCATGGCAGCCACCTCTATCAGCACCAACAGCAACAGCAACAGCAACATCAACAGCAACAGCAGACGTCAACTCAGGAGCGGCGCAAGTTACTGAAACGCACTCGGAGTCTGGCGGTCATATCAGAGGACGAGAGTCGCGCCGTCAACAACGACAGGGATAACAGTGTGCAACTCCATTCCCCGTTTGACAGGGCCACTCTGCAGCACCGCAGACCACAGCTCATTCCCCGGGCGAAACTCATCGATCGTCACTCTTTGAAAGACAGGTGAGAGAGATCGACTGACCGACTCCATCCTCGCGGTGCATTATTATTATTCGAAATATCCACTTTAGTCATTAGGTAAAATTCTCTCAGCCAATTGGTAAGCTTATTTGTTGGATGTGGCGAGGGATGGGGGGGGGGTTGAGAAGGTGAAGGAGAGAATATTTGAGAGTTTAGAGGAGAGTCGAGGCCCGCTGAGCTTCCCACGAACTATTCGAATATTACGAAGTGGAGGCAGACTCCAGCTTCCTTCTGGGCGAGAAATTCGGATGATAAAATTTTAAATATTAGTCGGCCGAGGAGAGGTTACACTTGCTGTTGTAATTCAATTAAATCGTAGCTCACTTAAATTTAATATAATAAACAAAAATAATATACTCGAATAGATATGGAATTCACGCGATCTTTATCTTCGAAATTAATCTACTTATTTCAAAATTGCCTAAGACAAAGGCTTCTTTATAATGAAATTATACTTGTTTAAACAATAATAAGGTAGCGTTGATATGAATAGCTTATCGTCTGTACAGTGTCATTGAGATAGAAAATTATCGATAAAGCGCAGTAAGCAGCGTAAGAAAATTATGACTCAATCATTAATAATTATACGACTTTCGTTATTAATTAAACTAAAATAAGACTAAAATATAACGGCTAATACTTTGTATTAAACTGAGAATTAAACATAATGCACATAAAGTAATTAGATTTAGAGTGAATAAATTTAGCATTTAAATATTTAAAGTAATAATAAGTGGAATTAGAGTAATTGAAAATCACTATATTAATTTGTATTTTCATTTTGAATAAACGTAAAATTAATTATATTGCACACAAATATTTTACATTTTTATGGATTATTAATATAAGCTTTAAGTAAATTACATTAATTCTGTAACTAGACATAGTTCTACTTTCTAACGTTAAAATTTAATTTACGGAGAAAGCAGCTAAAAATTCTAATGATAGTATTTTCGCGCTTTTTAACACACACTGAATTATTTTGCTAATCAAGTTAGGATAATAATGAAGATAGTCCGTGATTACTAAAGAATAATTGAGAAAGGCCCTTTAAAATAGAATTGAACTGGCCTTCCCAAGCCAAAAGACAGACATCTTTTTGTCTCGACATTCATTATTACAATTAGACACGTAAGCTCGGTTGTCGAGGCCTGCTCATGCAATTGCAAAATTCATCCCAATAACACCAGTCAGAACAACGTACCGGGGCATCCTTAAATCCTCGTGCGCCCTATGCGAAAAAAGCTCGCCCATAAAAGCCATTGAAAGTATCATTAATACGAGAAATTGAAAATCGCAGACTCAGCAAGAGCCAGCAGCATTTGTCGGACTCGTACGAGAGGTTCAGCGAGCCGTCGGTGCGACCCAGCCAGAGTCGCTCCGTCTGCGGTCTTTACTCCCTGCCCCCACCCCTGGACTCGTTACCCGAGCCCCTGCCGTATACGCGCCCCCGATCAACTTGGAGGCCGCTCGACAATCCCGGCAGGCTAAATATCCTCGAGTGGCCGGACTCGCCGATACGATACAGCAGCGTCCAGGATCTCAATAGCGTCAGCGGCCTCGTCGACGTCATCGAGGACAACTTCTGGCCAGCCGAGGAAAATCGTAGCGTCGATTGCATTTACACCCAGGTGACATTTATTTTTTACTTTCCGATCGACGGTCATTATTACAGCTCCAAAGGGACTGGGCTGCGCTTTCTCAATGCATAATCCCCGATGGCCTTCAATTTTTCTCTCTCGCGAAGCAATTTCGCGACACCTGCGCCGTGTCTTTCAATTTCCACGCATTTCCAACGATCGGTTCCTTTTTCAATTTTTATTTATTAAAGTAGCCTTTGCACGATACACTTTTATTCACTGACCGACTGACTTCCTTGTTCCGTATTCGGCTTGTGTATTTAATCGACTTTGTTACTATCTTGAATCTTTATTAAGAGGGATTTTAGTATTGGCTATTCAGTACGTTAAGTAAAACATTTGCACAAACAGAATTGAAGTTAGCTGTTTAGCAAAATATTATTATTTATGATTAGGCCTATGAAATATCAATAGGAGACAATGAGAAATAAAATTTTTCATATTGAAATAATTTCAATGCCTAACATAAAACTCGCATTTGTTTTTGATTATTTAACAAAATTTACGTAACAAAATATTTCAACCAACTTAACATTTAAAATTGAAAAATAAAAAAATTATTGATATTTGATTTGTTATATTTCAAAACATTATTGTAATTAGTAATTGTGAATTATTTACATAAATATAAGAATTAAAAAAAAAAATATTCTTTGTATTATTTAATATTATATTGGGCAGAGAATTACGGCGGTCTTTATAAAAATTTACAATTTACAATGTATACAATTTTATTAAGTATGAATTTTCAACTAATTTGGTAATTCATGCACATCCTACGTCGTGGATTTATAAATAAAGCAATATTTTACTTTCTTAACGAGACAGAGTATTCAAATAATCTTTATTTTCATGAAGCTATTATTTTTTATCATAAAATTGATATGAACAATTTTCTAATTTAAAAAAATTGCATTCAATTCATTAAGTTAAATCGTTAGTGTGTGTGCGTGTGTGCGTGTAATGAAAAAAAAAAAAAAATCCGTGTAAGATTGTTCATTATGATGTTTCTGTGCATGTAATTCGACAGTTTAATTTAATATTGATATTGCATTGTTGCAGGTGAAACGCAAACGAAAGGAACATCGAAGTTTAGATAGCATTTTGTTTGAAGACGATAGCGATGAGCTCGAATACTTTGATATTTTAAACCTGCTGCCGCTATCGAATGTTCGCTTAGAAATCGATGAGCCGAAATCGAAAAATAGTGGTGTGATTTTAGAAAGAAGCGGTAAAATTTCGTCAAATCAAGTGTCAAAATCACATCCCACGGTTCTTTCCGTTCTGTCGAAAAAAAGTAGCAGCGACAGCAAGAAATATTCTACGTATAAGGGCAGAGTTTCGATTACGGAAATTGAAGAATTCGTTCCGCCAAAGATTGATATTGACGATAAAGAAGGGAAAATTCGCGAAGATTCTGATGTATTTGAGACAATCGTTAAGGAATGCGCAACGGAGAGAAGCATTATCACATCGTTTAATGAAATAGCGCGAGACAAACTTCAGAACGAAAGTACACCTAATAATTATGATATAAATGTAAGTGAAGCATTAAAGCCTACCGTTCAATCATATTATTCGAAAGCAAAAGAAACTTTCTTAGATAAAGCCAAGAGGTGGAGTAATGAAGGTAATAAAACAACAAGTTCGCATTTAGAGGGGCATAAGAGCGCTAACGAGACTTTTCAAATTAAAGAAGAAATTAAACGGAACGAGGCAGCGATTACTACAGAAGCAGAAGAAATGTCGCGAAGACCACAAATACTTACGGTTATCGATAACGACATTACAAAACCCAAGCATCTTACAAAATCAGTGACTCTTGATGTAATATTCGCAGACAATGACACAGCGTGTGAAGAAAATCTTCAGGCGAATAATAATGTAGCAAATTATCGAGCATTAAAAGTGTTAAGCAAACCCGATATAATTAACGACCATGTAGAAAAAATTAAATTAATGACGAATAATAGTGACGTGGATGCGCAAAGCGAACGATTAAGCGTCGAGAATGCGAGAAATTTTTTCGAGAAAAAGAGCGCGGACAAGGATTTATCAGCCAGTAATTGTACCGACGGAGTAATCGATAAAAGTATATTTGGTAAATCATGTAGTAATGTTGTTAAAGATAGTTTAGGACTTGAAGGAACGTCTGAAAGTTCGGACTTGGGTTTAGGTTCTGAGGTGGGCAGTGACGTTAGAAGATTGTCAGTCGATGAATGCACAAATACAATGAACGGAAAAATTCGTAATAATAAGGGGTCCGCGGAATGCGTTAGGCGAGCCGTTGATTTAAATGATAAAAATCAAAATAACTGTACAAATTTAACAAGATCGAGAAGCTGCATCGACTCTATTGAATGTCAAGAGTTCGATGAGCCGGAATTCGATCACGTGCGCTACAAAATCGTAAAATCAAATGTTTTTAATAAAAATGTTATTAACAGTTCTAAAAATGACGTCGCCTACGATGGACTCATCAAGTATCTACGCGAATACTCTTTTCAAGATATTTTGATGGATAATAACGTTGTTATTATCGAACCAGTGAGGGCGGAGGTAGAGCGCAAGTCCTCCTTCAATGAAACTAAAACGAAGACTTTCTCTTCGTCTAAATCATCGCAGAATTCGACTCGACGAGCAAACAATGCCGAATCAAATAAATGTGACAAAGACAGCGACGGTGGAGTTAAAAATCATTTTATAAAATCACCTAGGCAATCTTCGCTACGGAAACACTTCTTTTATCAACCAATTAGAGTAAATCGTGAACTAAACGATGATGAATTACCGGATCCCGACACTGTTAGGAATGTGAGGAAAATGTTCGAAGAGACGATGAAAAAAAAATTAAAAATTGGTGGCCAACAAAGGACGAGGGGCCTTAATACGACAAAAAGCATGAGTATGAAAGATCTGAGAATGATAGACGATCGATCGTACGAAACTGGATCTGAGAAAGCAGCCGGCTCATCCAGGTACTTATGTTGATCCTTAACATAATTTATTTTACATTTGTCCTACTAATGAAATAACCGCACTCGCATTCATCATAATTAATATATATACATATATATATATATATATATATATATATATATATATACACACACACACACACACACACACCGACAGACACTAATATGCTTATACTAAACTTCTTTTTAAACTTTTGATGTGACAATCAGATCGAGATTCTCCAGTCGGGCGAAGGATTTGCGAAAAATGTTTGAAAACATGGACAAATCATCGCCTTCTGCATTAATGAATGAAAGTAAAGACGGCACGGATAATATTAGAAACGAATCGAAAACTAGATCGATTGTTCAATCGTTTGAAAGCAGAAGTGGACACACGTCGCCCAGTAATTCAAATTCCTCGAAAACTAAAGCGAGCAAATATCATCAACGTAATCAATTACATAATTGGGACGCTGGAAGTGTGAGCTCCGGCGTTTCCAGTGACTATCCTGACACGGACGTTGGTAGCGCACTGCCTTGTACTTCATCCGAAGATGAGGAATTATATTGCCAGGACGACGACGGGGTAGATGAAAGATACGAAGGCCACTACGTGTCGCAGGATGTACTTAAAAAAATTCGAGAGCATGGGACGTCGGTTACGTATTATGGGGGTAAAGTCGTCAATATTTATAATGGACCATTAATATGTCCGATGGTATGTAAGAAAACGAAAGTATTGCAACAATCGATCGATTATGTCAAATTTCGTTTGGTAAAAAGCAATTCGTGCGATAGTAGGCTCGAATTAACCGGGCGCGTAGAAAATAATCGAAATAAATATGAATTGAACGTAAATCGAGATAAGAGTATTGATTTGAGGCAATTCACTATTGACGAGGCGCCGAGTATTGAAATAACCACGATAGAGAAAAAGGATACGGATGAAATTAATGATAAAGCTAAAGCCAAAGATGCGAAACGTGAACCACCGGTGGTTATTGGATTAGAACCGAAAAAGGAGGAAAATAAAACATTCAAAGCGGATTTTCAACTTGGCAAGATCGACGATAGCGTAGCAACGAATAGATTTGCATCGAGCGCGCTTACCAGATGGCAAATTAATGAAAATACTTGGAAAAGGAATACGGATTTTGGAAAAATGGAGTTCGAAGAGTACGAAGTGCTCGAAGACAGTCTTAATGGGACAAACGCTTAGAATTCACATTCCAATGATTAAATATGTCGATCGGCAATGTATATGGAGAAAAATTTTGTTTTGACCGAATGAAAAATTGCACACTGTAAAAAGGAAATTTTCAAAATATAATTATTGTATTATTTAATCGCTTATTTAATCGATTTAAAGCATTGAAACACATTGCATAGACGTGCAATATAACAATCAAATGTGATCTTGGAAAACAAAAAAAAAAAAAAAAAAAAAAATCTATAAAAAAAAATCATTATAATCTGTACAGTCTTTCTACAAAGGAAAATGATGCACGGATAATAATATAAATTGTATTTTATTTTTCAATAAAAATAAGAAATAATGTCATAAGTCTAAAAATGTAAAAATCTATCTATTTATAATGACTAATCTATTTAATAATAACATGTTCAGTTAAATTGTAATGTTAAGTTGTTCAATAAAATAATTAAAATCAATTCGTGTACAATTTTTTTCCCACTTATTTTATTAAAAGCTTTTTTTCTTCTTCCATTTTATACAATAACTGGATATAAAAATACAAATTCCGGACAGATCATCCAACCATTAATTTTATTCATTTTACTTAAAGTAATTTATTGTAATTTGACAAAAACAAAACAAAAAAAAAAAAAAAAAGAACATTATCTTACATTACGCACTACTCAATAAATATTTGAACAAAATCCAAGTAAAATATTCAAAGGAAATATCCTATCAAAGTTGAGCCGAGTTTTACAATAAATAACTAATGTTGAGCTGATAAGGGCATTAAAACATTTTGCAAGCTACATGATAAAATACAATATTTTATTCGTCATAAATATCAGTAACGTAAATAATATTCGTGAGATGAAAAATAGATAAAAAAATAGATCTTTGTATTTGTAGGAAAAAACTGCATAATATTTGTTTATATATTTATAATCTTGTTCGCATATAGGTTTATTAAACTCGCGGCTCATAATGTTTTGTAATTTATACAAATTTAAGATTTTTAAAGCTTAATCAATAGATTAAAATATCGATTTTCTAATACATTAAGTATCTATGTCGAGAAAATTGATACATAAGCATATAAATATACTTATAAATATGCCTATTAATTTCAATAAAAATATAATAACATTCGCAAGAATTATAGCAGATTCTTGTATTCTTAATTCTTAAGACATAAATATATATTTAATGCAATTATTATTTATTCATAAAAATTATGTTTAATTACTTATCTATATGTTTTTACCTGAGGGCACAATCGATATAATTTTTTCTTTAGAATGTTTCTTCGAATCCTTCATACTCTTTGTATCTTTTGAATCTATTTCTTCCTTTAATCCCTTTGCATCCTTTTGTTCAGATATCTCTTTATAGTGTTGCTGTTCTTTAGAAATTATAGGACTCAAACTCGGAATAAACGCTGCAGTAGTCGTCGATAGACTTTTTTGGGAAATGTTCCACCATCTTTTGCACCACGTTTCCTGAAAATGCAATCCCGACATTAGAATCTCATCATATCTAATAACTAATCATACGCATACAATCACATTAAATACAGGCGCGCGCGCACACACACACACATATTGATAAATTTAATATTAACATAACAATTATATTGATTATATGGAATTATGAATTTCAAACAGAGATACAGTAAACTCTTTACACTAGTCACAGAAGCAAGCAAAATTACAACATTTACATAAGTAAATATTATTTTTTTTTTAGCGTAATTTTATAAATTTTCAATATATAAGCACATAAGGATGTGTAGTAAATTTAATCGATTCAGCCATTCATATTTTTACAAAATACTTCATTTATCCTGGATGAATTACTCGCTACTGATTGAGTTTTTTTTCAAATAGAAAATTAAGTAAAAGCATTTACACGCGCACGCACACAAAATCTAATTTTTCAAAAAACTGTGTATAATACTATTACACAATTATTATTTCTTAGATACTACAATAACACTGGACACTAGATTGCATATTGCAATTATCACATAAACTTTATAAAACAAAGTCTTAACTTTAAGTCAGAATTAAAAAAATATAATAATTATCAATATCTAACTATATATTTTATTTCGATTAATTAAAATTATGATTAATTATGTACAACAGTAAATGAAAAATAGCGAAGGATGATATTATTTAGTAATAAAATAAAAAAAAACCAATTCATATTTAAGAATATAATTATAACCGATCAACAGTATACAAAAATAGGATTACTTTATTAAAGTTTACATTAAAAAATATAATCACAATTATCAATTATTCATAAGTTCAATCTGTAATTAATTATTTTCTTCAACGTACCAAGTAGATGATTATTAAACAATTATAAATTATTATAGCAATTATTTTCTTTATAGAATGGTCATAGGATATAACAGTAGTAGTTACTTAATACGATTATCTTATAGATGATTAACTAATTAAATTCATTTGCTTTAATAATAATTCAGTATATTTTCGAATAGATTGATTGATGGGGCGTAATATATAAATATATAAGTATCGGAGATTTATATCTTTTATTATAAAATCTTTATAGAAATATCGATAGATTATTCTTAAGATTTTCTATTTTTTGAATAAATATTCGAATTCTTTAAACGTATATAAACGTTATGTTGGTACAATCCGTACAAATTTAATAAGAATATTTTTTCAAATACCGATATATTTTTCCTTATTTCTTATCAAAAAAAAAAAAAAAAAAAATAAAAAGATACATAAAATATGCCTTGAAACGTTATGATGTATTAATGAATACTTTATGAATATACGATAATAAATTAATGAACTTTTTAATATTAACTAATATTTCGAGGATTATAAAGTTTTTCTGTATTGTGCATATATTTGAACATTGTGTATTGAAATTTTGTTTTAGTCGAAAATAGTATTGTTTATCGATCCTACGGCCACATCTAGCATAACATTATGAATATGCCTGAGAGATGGCAGAGAAGATAAAGTGAATACGCGCGAAAATGTATGAAAGAGGATGAAAGATTTATAGGAAATGTGAGCGAAATTCAGTAGGTTTTCATGAAAGCCAAAGTCTTTCTAGAAGCCTGAACGGACCTGAACGGTCTGAGAATTAGTATTACCCACTACAACTTATTTTACTGAATTTGAAACTATAATTTCGTTACGATAATGTTTTACTATATGTTCATGATTACTATAATGTTCATTAATTTATCCGAAAACATTATTTTTAATATAACGAAAGTTTAATCATTAGATTAATTGTAAAACCTGGCTCCGTACAAGAAATTAGAAATACAATTTCAAAGCTAAACATTTCATATCTGAAACATGTACAAGAATTTATTAGGCACAAACGATCTAATTATCATCGTGTAAAAAATAAATTAATTAAAAGTTTCGCTATAATTGCGAAAAATTAAAATTTAATATCATTAATTAATTAATAGGGGCTAATCCGACGTACAAAATTAATGATAAAAATTGCGACAAAGTTTTTCAAGATTATTCAATTGAAAATCATATATGTCGAGTGAGCGTTACTATTTTTAAAAATAATATGAAATATAAATATATTTAACCGTGATTTTTAATATTTCATCTCAAGCAGTTAAGAAACAAAGAACAATAAAAATTGTTGCAAGACATTTTTTATGATTTTCTAGGGTAAAGTTTTTTCGAATTTAAGGAATAAACTTGTTCTATAAATTGGTCCAAAAGTAAATCTTGGATTAAATTTTGTATGTTTGTTTGAAAATTTCGAAAACAATATTTGGATTATTTCACATAATATAAATTATTGATTGAAATACAAATGGCATGATAAATGAGTAAAAGTTGAATTTTAAAAGACTTTAATATAAAGGTAGTACAAACATAGGTTCTTTACATAATTTTTTAACTAATTTTTATAATGGAAAAAATTTGCAAACTTTTATTATTATGTTTTTTTTTCTTTCTTTCTTTTTTCGCTTAATTTTGTCGGATTTAGTGGTTAGGCGATATTTTACATTGAATTATTGATTAAGTAATAAACAAATTAGACATCAAGCCGTCGCTACATACATCGGCAAATATTTCACAGATGTGGAAGTAATTTTTACGAGTAGACTGTGGTATTATCAGAATTTTTATAAAATTTATCTGCGCCTTGTAACTGCGACTGTGATGCCGCCCAAACAATTCTAATTTCGGCAAGCTGCAAAGACATCGTGAGATGCAATAAATTTTGATAATGAATTAAGCTTAAATTATCTCCCATATTAGCAATTTACGTGTGCAGAGTCGACGAACCGTAATCGAAAGTAACATTATTGGCTTTTCGAGTGAGGTAAGCACGAGCGTTTAATACTCCATGTTTTTTGTCTGCTGAACGTATACGTATGATGATCATCCGTAGCTTTCCAAAATAAATTTTTGAATCATTAATTTACTAAACACGACTTACGAAACCATTATGCACATATATCATCGTAATAGCGTAATTTATCATCCGCGAGAATCATTATTAACATGAGAGAATATTGAATTTCCTTGGACTACGATATTTTTATACCAAGGTTTTTATCAATTCTTTGTTTACCTAGTTTGGGCTGTAAAAAATGAGCTACAATTCGTTTAAAAACAAAACAAAAAACAAAAAAAACAAATTTGTTTCTTTTTTTCACGTTGTTCGAAAATAATGTATTAATTCTTGGCTCGAACCGAACTGCCATTGCTTCGATATCATACTTTTGCCGCCCGCCCTCGTCAAATGCAAATGCTCGGGGAGAAGTTAAGTGGACTTGTTTTTCGATGATTTAATTTACAATTTATTATACGATTACATTATTGATGTATTGGATGCGTCGTAAGTTTAATTATAAAGATGCGATTTCTTGTGACGGATGTTTCACTACAAAAGATGATCCTCGAGTCATGGACACGGAGTGGACTTTGTGTACTCACAGTGATACGGTGACCTTGATTTCATCCCACCGGAGGGTTGATGTATCTTCCTTCTGGTCGGTCAGTGAATCACTTAATAAAAACTTGGTCACTAGTTTTCACCGATAAATGAGAACTGATTCCGACTTGGCTACTCCACGCTGACTTGGACAATCGCAACGTCGAAAAAAGTGTTTTTTGGCAGCAGCGCCTTCGATTGTGGGGAGGCTCACCCCTTTCCGGGACTTGGCGACGTTGCCGGTGGTCGGGCGGGAGGGGTTATTGGGGCTTGGTGGTAGGGGAGGTAGGGAGGTGTTGTTGGTAAAACGTCTTCGTTTGGCCTATGCAAGTGGCAACGTGTGGATATGCAAACGGCAACAATGTATGTCTCGTGACATTGAGGGCATCGAGGACACACGAGGATTGGCCGATGTCGCACCAGCCGAGTTTCTCGTTACAAACGAATTTTAGGAAATATTTTTCTACTCGATTGTTTATATATTTCTCTCACTCTTGACATATTCTCGTATAAACAGACTCGGCGCGCTCTTGCTAGCTAAAACCAACGGTCGTTTACTGCATTAAAAAACGATAAACATATGTGTAGCGCAAAGAATAATAGAAGTGGCTGTTTTCGAATATTTTCAAGATATACTAAACTTTTCGAGCCTCGAACGACCGTGGAAAAACTTTCTTAAAGATTATGTCCGTTCAATATTTTCGTTGAAGGTAGCCCGTTGGGATTTTTCCCAATTGATAATATTCGAGAGATATTTCTCAATCTCGAACACGCGTTTTATATCCGCAGACTAATGCACTCTTCACGCATTTACATTTAACGGTTACATTAAAAATTTTACTTTATAAACAATTTAATGAATATCGAATTGGTTTTGAAAAGCACTTGAGCACTTGTAATAACGCGTCGTGTTCATTTGCATTTAAGAACACTATAAAGTACTTCACTATAAAGTTCGTAAAAAATGATCGTAAATCCTAATTAGCATAACGGGGATTAGACTTTCAAAAATTTTAATGGCCTAGAAGTGTAACGGCCTAGCGAGATTTATATTTAAAATTTTGATTTCCCTGTACTACAAGTGCCGATGTAACACGAGTTTCAGCTATTAGTACACAATTCGCGAATTATGGATACATAATGTTTTGTAATCCAGTCCGCAATAGCGATATTAACAATTTTATTGCCATCAATAACGCAACGACCGTCGCTTCGTAACTCCACGTTTATCCGCCCAGACGTCGCCTATCCACCGCCGGGCAAACCTTATGGCAAAACAATCAACCAAGTTACCAAGTTTACCTACGCTTCCTCTCGCCCTAGCTCCACGCCAACTCGTCGCTCGTTTCTATTACAATAAGGTACGGGGTCCGTCGATTGCTTGGTACATTGGAGAAAGCAGGGCTGGGAGAGAAGCTGATGCGCTTGGACAACTGTTTCCCTATCATTGGCTGTTTTATGCTTCGATAGACGCGAGGTAAATTGTTGCGTCAAATGGTAGATGACCAACGCGCTTACAATGTGAAAT